GATAGCGATAACACCTGGATTATAAATGATTCGAAGTTAAAGGGTTTCTGCGTGTTAACTTTCGAACATTTAAATAAGTAATATATCTTTTTCCTCGAGGGATTTACCTGATAACGAGAATGATATATCTCACTTCTCAAACAGACCTGACATTAATTCGAATGTAACGCGTAAAATTAATTAAAATGGTAGGCAGATTACTTACACACTCGTAAAATTTAATAACTGTCACCACGAAGTAATTCCGTAATTTCCAATTAAATTCTTATTGATGAAAACTCGAGTCCATCGTAACGTTCGCAGGCACGGCAGAGGTGATGACTCATCTTTGATATTGATATTTAAATATGGATCACAATTTTAATTAATCATCCCAATAAAATAGTGATTCGAATTACAGATACTTATAAATGATAATTTGTATCCTGGAATAATATATACAAGGTATAGAGAGAAAAGAAAGAGTCTTTTTTTAGAAGAGCAAAGAAACAAAATGGGATGCTGTCGCCCATCCTTTCGAAGGGGTATCCTGTCGGGATAGATTCTTCATGAGCGCCCATTAAGTGTATTCCGGAGGCCGCGAATTACGCGAACATAAAATGTCATGCATATTCATAACGACCATTTCGACGGGCGTATATTACACGTGTATAAAATATTCTCTCTCGTTGCAGATATCCATTAAACCTGCTCCCTCCCCTGCAATATATACATGCATGATAATAATTATTATCGAACTATTACGTCTGCCGTTATATATATTCTACATTAGACCCTATTATTCCGCCGTTGATCGTCAAAGGTTCTGTCGCGCCGTGAAACGTTTGATCGAGAAATATTCGCGATACCTTTCAGTTACATCGTTTTTGAAACCTGACGCTTCAGAAATGTGCAGTCTTGCAACTGTAAACACGCGCGGTATTTATCCTCGATATTTCTCGAGACCGTCGATCTGTGTGTGCGGGATGTCAGTTGTGCGACAAATTTGGGTGGATCGGTTTTCGGATCGTCGCGACCGGGCTTTACCGAACGAAACGGAGCGGATTTTGCCTCGCGCTGATCATCCTGAATGAGCAAAAAGGGCCGAATGTAACGGCGATCGGGCCGGGTCAACGCGCCCGGCTTTTTCCCGACTTTATGAGCAAAAGGTACGACGAGCGCGCGTTGCACCGCCTCGTCGTTCCGTGCACCGAGGGAGATGCGCTGGAGGGTCCAGCCGCACCGAAACAAGAAGTTTCCGCGCGCTGCATTTTCTTGCGTACCGACATACATTGGTAACGCGTGCCTCTGTCACCCTCTCGGCGGCCATCTGCCGCGTCCAGCAGCCTCCATCGAGCAATCGAATTCGCAGAGGTAGCGGCCGCATCACGACGACCGTGCTCGTCGTGTAAGAAAAGGAGGAACGATCTACAAAATAGTCGAAGAGGAAAATAGAGAGAGAGAGAGAGAGAGAGGGAAAAGAGGAGAAATGAAGATGAAGAAATACGTCCCAATGATATCAGCGGAAGCAATGGCGCTGAGTAGCAGCTGACCGGTTATCCTTTTTGCCCAGGGAATCAAAAGATACACATACACGTTATATATATTTGCACGTGCAGTGATACGTAATTAACACGCGCTTCTCGATAGACTTCCTTCTTTTAGCGTTCATAACCGTTCGCGACCGCGAGATCCTTGATGCTTCAGCGGCCCGAGATTTGGAGCTTTAAATTTTTCGAGCTCGCGACCTGAAAACGGAATTTGCGTGCAAAAACATGTCCGAATCCATCCCGTTTCTCCCCCACCGAACGATCGCGATTCTTCCCGCTTGTACCATCAATTACCAAACACCCTGTATGTATCGAACCGACGATGAATGCTCGCTGGTCTTACCGCTTTCACAACCGCCGCGATAAAAACTCCTCTAGTCTCGTTCCTCGTTGTCCCGTCTCTCATACCCTTTCTCTCTCGCTCCTTCGTCCTTCCTCTCTCTCTTCTTCTCCCTCGTTTTCCTCTCTCCTCAAGGCTCCCTCACGGCCTCATGGAGCAAGCGCGTCTGACGTTTGACAGAACAAAAGACTATCGACCGGACTCGTTCTCTCGGAGCCTTCCTTTTCCCTCAAAAATAGACTCCCGCGAGCCTCCCCTGCATGCGTTCTCTCCCCGTCTTTAATTCTTCTTTCTCTTTGCGCTCCCTCCGAGCTGCCACACGTCCTCGCCCGGCGATCTCGTCTCGACGAGAGGAAGGGTTCAGAACGACTGCGGAGGGATGCCTTTCCTCTGACCAGCTCTCTTCTCCTGCGTGCACATCCAATGAGCCATCGCGTACAAATTACCGAAAATTGGTCCACTTTTTGAGGAGACTCCGGGATACCTCCTGACGTCGGTATAACCGCCATAGTTTCTCCCTATTGTCCCTTCGTCCTCGAGACGCGTTTTTTATCGGCGGGGTGGCGCGCGGTAACACGGCCCGGCTCCCTCGGGTGCGAGATCGTTTTTGTCGGTTTGGCGATTTTCGAAATTTAACACTAGTTTCCGAGTCTTAGAAAATTGGAGCGGCTCGTGCGACTAATTTGCCGAGAATCGGCGGGTAATTTTGGACATTAGATTTGACCGGATTTCGTCGATTATCGAACAAGAATCCGACGGTCCATAACGATGATTTTAAAGACGCTCGGGATTCTAACATTTCGTATTATATAGTTTTAACTCTTATTTTGAGAACTTTAATATTTTATTCGATATATTCGAGTCTACTTACAGAAAATTCTTTTGAAGACGCCAACATTTTCTTGCAAGCGTTTTTTTTTAGAATACGTTTAATTCTATTAGGACCGTTTCTTTACGGAAATACCAATCCGCTTGAACGTGTTTCTCGTTACAAAGGGCCCTTACTCGTGACACTCGGACGGCCTCGCGTGTGACTTAACGACGCTTGGCTAATTAACGTAAAATTCGATCGGTCATGGAAGGTGGTCGTTCTTTCTCCGTTTGTCTGACTCTCGACGGCGTGCAAGTGATTGCGAGCTCTGTGACAACCTGTTACTCCCAACCGTCACGCCGCTATCTGCATGGAAACGCCAAAGGTCGGGCAATCTTCAAATGACGCTGACAACTTATATAAACGCTTGTAAATAATCGATTAACGACGAATCTTTTAGAGATATGCATATATTTTGATATTTGTTACGCTGAATTTTAGATATTACAGGACGTCAATCGTATTTTTGATAATTACTTCTTTCAGTATCTTCCCAAACGAATGTTAAATAGCTTCTCTTCGTAATTTACGTTAATGCGAGCCTCATTCGAGGCATACGCCTCGCCCAGCCTTAAGCAGGCACGTTGAATGCGTCGTTAAAATAAAAAGCAACCACGCATCCCGCGATATAGAGCGTACAAATATTTCTGCCGTCAACGAGAGGCAACGAGATATTCGTTTCGAACAAAGCCGAGATGGGCTCCGAGGGGAGAATCGGCAGAACGCTCCAATCGCTTATATTTCACGATCGCCCGTCGAAAAAGGAGAAGCGCGATACCTCCGCGCGCACCTGCCGTGTTGCGGCACCGTAAGAAGGTCTCCCTTGCCGGAGAAAATACAGCGGGAACACACGGATACGACCGAAACTTCTTATTCGCTCGAGAGTCCGCCGAGAGCCGTGCGCATGTAAATGCGCGACGCGACTCTCGGAGAGGTGATATTTCGAGGTCCGCCGACGTCGGGCCTCGGGGACCGACAGCCATTGTATCCGCGTTCGCTCGCGCTCGCGCTCGCGCGCGCCTCTGCTCATTAAATATTAACGAGAGTCTCAATTTCTTCATTTCGTTGATGAGTCGCCGCGCGCCATCCGAGAGAACCCGCATATAGATTGAAAATTAACTTATATGAGCGCCGACAAAATATATACGGCATGCGGTGCACTTATACGACTCAAGAGGCCTACAATTTACACGAGGGCTCGCTATGTTGGTATAACCCCTAAGTAGAACCCTCGTCCCCCCAGCACCCCTCTTCCTGTTCTTCTACTTCTTCTTTCTCTTCTACTTCTTCTCCTTCGTCGTCGTCGTCTTCTTCTTCTTCTTCTTCTTCCTTGTCGTCGTCGTCGTATCTTCCTTTCGGCTTATCCGCTTCTGACCCGAACGTGAAATCCTTAAATACCTAATTTGATGCTAATTACAACTTGCACTTGCGCCTCGCGAGAGACCGGCAAACGGTGTGCTCGCGTGTGGCGAGAAGGTTTAATGGTGTGCTTGGGATAGGGGTATATGATGGATGGTGAAACATGTCGTCGGTGAAGCATCAGGTTGAATCTTCTCAGCTTCAAACTTGGAAGTGTCTGTAACTTCGGAGTCATCGATTTTCTGCGAGGCTCCTTGAAATCTCGCAAATATTCGACACCTATACCATATACGCTTACGTACCGAAAGCTAAATTCGATTCGCAGTTGCTGAGGTTTGTGATTTATAGAATCTTAAATTTTTCAATATTTATAAAAAATTGGATTATAAATACCTATTAAAAATGCAAATGCAAACGTAAGAAATTTTTCGAGATCTAACTTTGAAGTATTTAAATCTTTATGACATTCTCCCAATATCTTCAATCTTTCTTTCTTCTTCCAGACAATTTGTAGAAAAACTTTAACTTTCAATATTCAATTTAAAATGATTAAAATCATTATTTTGTTAGTTCTTGACAAAATTTATTAAAAAGCTATGCATTCTTGTAGATGCTTGCAAATTTTTTATCAATTTAAATATATAAATGCAAATGATAAAAATAAAAAATCTCGAATTGTTTTACATGGACTTTGACTATCAAGTTGAAAATTTGGGTATATTGTAATAAAATATGCAAAGCTAATTCGCAAAATACTCAAATAACCATGGAGATTTATTGGAGAGGCGTACATGTCTCGTGTTATATTTCGTACTAATTAGAACACAAACTTACCTTTCTTCTTGGTCTATACTTCGGGGACAGAGAAGGTACAGCAAATTAGAGAAGGGAGCAAGTTGCGTCTGAGTCGAGACGTATGTAACTATTTATTATGCGATAATAGTTGCACTCGAACGTAGCACATTAATTTGTCTACAGAGTTGGAAATAATTGCTTCGCTCTTTAACATGTACGCTTAATGATCGCTATGCTACACATTATCTAACGTGCGACCTATCGATTTTCCCTGCCGAGCATTACATGACAAGAGACGTCGTAAGAGATGCCCGTAAAGTATTTGGACTCACTTTATTTTAAACGTGAAATAAAGGTGAAATAAAGGATATAAATGTAGCAGTGTACAAATGCATGGAAAACGATACGATGTAATGCATTTTCTTCTAAAATGTTATTAATTTTTGCAAAGTTATGTAGACGTTATGAATAAGTTTATTAAATTAATGTTTAGATATCAGTCATATATAATTAAATTGCCACTCTGATGCTCTCAACAACATACTCCCAAGTTTTCGCAAAACCTTGTTGTTACCTTGTCCCTCAAGTATAGTTTTGAATTAAATGTTAAAAATATAAACAGAAAATAAAGACGTTATCGACGATTGAAAGAAAGACCGGAAGAAACAAAATGATTAATCAATGGCATCAATGTTTAACTTGAATAATTCTCCAATATTTCAAATTTCACATATTTGAATATCAGAAAAAATATTAAATCAAGTTCCTATGACGCACTATGTATACGCCCGAGAGATTCAACGTAATTAAAATTTCACGAACTCGTAACAATCTAATCTTCATTACGCAACCACGTGCGCGGGATTGCGTCAAACTTGCGTCAAAACACGTGCGTATGTGTGTGCCTTCGTACTGCTCGAATTCAAAGATGACGATTTGGAGGGGAAACGTGAATGCAAGAACGCATAATGTGAAAGGCTTGATCAAGGCGAAATATCTCGTCCTCCGAATGGCATGCGGTAATTCGGCACCGCGGATTGCAAAAATATATTATGCCCTTTGAATTCCAGCAGCTCGTTAAAAAATTTTTCTTTCTTAGCTAATTTAAGTTTTTTGGCACGAGCAGAGGAACGCCGTTTTTCCTTTTTTTTTTTAAGAAAAACTTTCGTACGTTTACGCCGCTAATATAAAATTCATAGACACTCGCCTACAATTTTATCGAGCTTTGCATAATTTTATTTATTAGATTCAATTTTATTTTGCAATTTTTGCCTTTTAGCAATGATGAAATTATAAAACTACATTTAACATGTTGCCAATCATCACCGCCTGATTATAAGTTCAATTAATCAGTATTCAACTGATTAACACTTTGGCCAATTAGTAATAGCGCGAAGTCGATAAAAGTTAGTCGCGCGCGAAGTCTCGTATAAAATCAATGAGGACAAATTAAATAATTTCCCTACGTGATTGCACATGTAATGTACGTGTCCGTCCGCATGGGCGAGTCTTCATTTAATTTAGCGGCCCTTGCGACATCGTATAGGGTGTTCTAAACAGTTGCATACATACAACACTTACAACATTTTACAATTTACAACATTTTAACTAGAGAGAAAGCCTTGATATATTTTATAAAACATACAATTTGAACAATGTTCAAAAAATTCTTTGTGCGATTTTCTTGAAACTTACGAAGATTTTCAGATCTCATTAAAAACACCGACAAATCGTTAGAAATACTCAAATATCGTCTGGCAACTACTTGGATGTCTAAAAATATATTTTCACCCCACGTCTAAAGTTTCAAATTCTTAAGAATGCTCGCTAAATGTTACATCGAAGATGTAAAAAGATTTTCGAAAATTCTAAATTTTTAATTACTTTATACCTCAAGTATCAATCGTGCGCGATATATCTAATAATATCTAATATCTTATAAATAGAACATCAAAATTAAACATTCAATCGCATTAAAAGTTTATTAAGAAAATTTTCTTCTAAATTTCTTTAGATATGTCTGCCACGTATCTGGTATACATCTTTCTGGAACACCCCATATGTCGAACAGTGCCCGAAATTTCGTCGTTAATTATCGATACAATCGCTAATGAAACACCCTCTTTGCATACGTACCTAGATTACATTATTACTATTCTCGTCTAGTAATCATTGGTAATTCGGATGTGCATGGAACTATGATTATTATCACTGATTATTTAACCATAATCGTCCTTGAAATTACCCGCTAGATTCTATCTGACTAGGCTGCCTTCGGGAAAGTCCTCCGCGGACGAGTCACTTCCTTCGTCAATACGGTTTCGTCCAATTCTTGGTGGAAGGCCAGGTATTTAATCTTGACCGATCTCGCGGTCAAAGTTTATTTCCCGCACGAGATTAAACCGCATTTCGACTTCCGCGAAATTTAAGTAATTGTTCTCAAGACTAGCAAGGATCACACTCTAGACTTTTGAAAGTAAGACCAGGCTTAAATGACCACTGCCACGATACGTCAGCGACGTCAATGTTCATCAGAGAGATTTCTTGCTAAGACCACCGTGTCATCGACTTGCCGAGTTCCTCGTCGGCTCACGAGGAAGTGCGATAATCCCTCATCCAAGATGGCTGGAGAGGCTACTGTATGCGTCCTCTTCCATTTCAAGCCGTCGTCAGTAGATGTCGGAAAAGGAGACCTGAGAGGAAACGCCTGAGTGCAGCTGATGAAGGGCGTGTAACTCCTCCATCGAGGTCGAGGGCATGCTGTTGCTGTCGCTGAGCATGGCGGCCGGCCCGACATTTGGAGAATTGCCGGTGCTGGAGGACACTGCCGTGCCGGAACAGCCGATGTTGCTACCGGCGTTGCTACCGTCCTGCCGCATCAGGTTCCGTCGCCATTTCGCGCGCGCGTTTTGGAACCACACCTGAACAGAGGCAAGATCAAGATATCACATAATTTCAACTGAAGAATTTAAAAACGCAACTGATTCTTCAACATCGATCACAATTGAAGTGTGACTACTTGTTCTATTCAAGAATTAGAAGTAGAAAGAGTGAAACAATGTGAAGAGTTGACGTCGTTAATTTTACTTATATATTATACTCTTGCGTATATATACTTTGTCAAAGGAAAATCGTTAGGAAAGAAGTAATCGTTAGCAACGATCAGTTAACTTCTTATAAACATTCATGTAAACGGAAGACTCCGTACCTGCAGCACCCTTTTCGATAGACCGGTCTTCTGCGCGAGTTGCTTGAGATCCTTGGCGTCCGGATTCTGATTTATCGCGAAGTAATTCTTCATGGTTCGCAACTGATGGTGCTTGAAACTGGTGCGCATACGCTTCGTCCGCTGGTTCTGGTGCACCGGTCCCGGGGAGCCCACGGACGCGTCGTACGCGGCCAGCGACTCCATCGACGAGGACAGCTCCGTGGGGTGCAGCAGTTCTGCAACGGCGACTTGCAACACATTTCCGCTAGAAAGTTTCTTTTTTCTTTTTCAATTTCGCGTTCAACCATCGATGTCGCGTGCGAGCAACGTTGGATCGCATCGTATTTTAAATTTATTTATCAAATCCCTTTTTTATTCGTGTATTTTCAGGAATCGCAAGCTCCAGAATCAGAAAAAAAAGAATTAAAAAATGTGAAATTTTTAAAACTCGGAGACATCGGATGCTGCAAAAATCGCGAAATATCAATATTACTACGATCGCCACGTTAGACACCCTCTTCTAGTCCAAAAGAATATATAAAAATCGAAGTAACTTCTGCGACGACTTAATATATATTTCTCCATACTTCCGCGGTCTTATTTAATTCACGCTTATTAATTGTTAGAAGAATTTTAGCTCCGTGAAGTCCGCGCGAGAGGAGTCGACCCCTTTTCGTCGACCCTTGCTGTCCTTTCCGATCTTGCGAACATAACTGTGCTTTCTGATCGTCTTCAAGAAAAAAAAGACGAAATTCGTGTCGTTCACCTCGATCAAGAAAACGAATTCCGAAGGTGCCGTGGAACCATTCGCGAAAACAGTTTTTCTCCTTTTCCTCTCTTCTCTCTCCATTTCTCTCTCTCTCTCGCTCTTTCTCTTCCTCTCTCGTTGGCAAACCAGCAGATCGTCGTCCGTTGGGAATGGAAGTTCGGAACAATAAACAGTAATGGCGCATACGTGCTCGGGGATTTACTTCTGGGATCCCTTCTCACCCCCTCGCCCCTCGCGTGGCCGCTTCGTCGACTGGAACCCGTTCTTCTCCCGATTGAATTCAATGGTTACCCTCGTCGTCTTATTTATTGGATGCGTTCCTTCGCTCCGCCGGCGCGCAACAACTGCAACTGCACACACAACCGCAGCCACGCTCCTCGTCTTTCCGCCGACTCTCTTTCTCCCTTTCCGCGCTTTTTTATTTTCGTCCATCATAATTCAGTTAAATTCATACGGAATGGTATGACAGCTAATTGATCAATTAAGACTCTTCCTCCATAGTTAAAGAGGGAAATTTTCGTCCGAAAAATGTCGCAAGCCTCTTCCTGATCCCGGAAAGTCCTACTTTCAATTCGATTCTCGTTTCTCGCGAGTCTATCCGCCAAGAAAAAAAATACCATGAAACGTTTTACCATCCCAACGAAAATCTATGTATTTCATTTTGCATTTAAAAAAAAAGAGCAATCAAACAAGAAGAAAAAGGGAGAAAAGAGACCTCCAGTTCTAGCGCGTGATTTTATACGCGAATCGAATCGAAATTAGAATTTTCCCAGCGCGCCTCTCGACTCCGGCGGGGCCTCTCTGTCTCTGTAGGAAGAGGAACGGCTCCGGGCATCGGTGGACAATGACAGATAGATATCGGCACCGGGAGATGCATCGATTGGCCGATCTGCCCGGAAAAGAATGCTGCTGCGGCCAATGCGTGGCCGCTGCCAGCAGAATGGCCGGCCGGTGCGCTATAATGCCGCCTGCGCGAGTTTCTTGCCGCGCCGCCGGCATCGGAATCCCTCTCTCGTATCGTCGTCGATTCTCAGTCCACGGCGATTTTGGCTTCTAACTCGCCCTGACAAATTGTAATCTCATTCTTAAACCGCCAAATCTGCCCCACCCACCCTCCCGCCGTCGAGCCGCTCGGGAGAGAGAAACTTCCCAGGGCTCGCATGTGATCCTTCCCTCGCAAGAAAGGACAATATCTTCTTAATTCCAAGATATACTAACATATGTTCTTGCTGAAAGGATTGTGCCAAAATTTTCGCTATAAATTGTCTTGACAGAAATTAATAATCGCAGTACATCGTATATCCTTCAACATTTAATATAATTTCTTGATTTTTATTATTCAACAAAGAGTATGTACTTTTCTTAAGGATTTGTATACTATAATTTCTCATATATAAATGAGAGTTTCAGAAAAATAAGAAACTTAAAATTCTTGACTTTTTAGAACAGTTTTAATGACTTTAATTTTCCGTTTATCGTAATCTAATATATCAACTGCTCCGGTGTCAGGCATTAGATGTGGCATGTCTCGCGGCTCGGGAATAGTCCGGATTATCGTTTTCTTGCTTCTGTACTATTATCGCGAGAGTGCCTCTGTGATCCGCCGTCGGTCGCTCGGCGTCTCGCCATGGAATCGCTCCGTTCGTCGTCGGCGCGTCCCTTTCGCAAAAACTGTCCCAATTATATATAAAGACAATAAAACACCGCGAGATGGTCTCTCTCTCCCAGGCCGGCCGTTCCCACCCGTGGCCGCGCACGCAGGACTTCATGGACGATTTTATGGCTGTTGGTCGTAAATTCCGGTCGGTAGTCCAGGGAGAGTGATCCTCGCTCTTCGTCGATTATAAAATAACTGGGAATCACGCGCGGCTGGGAATCACCGGTCGATCGCCATCTTGGCCTGCGCCCGAAGCCGAAACGATCGTAAAATCCGGCGGAAATCATATCGAAACGCGATACGAGTGCGAGCCGGCCGGCAAATTACACGAGTCGAGCGGAGAATCACTATTTTTTTAATTTCTCTCGATCGCCAAGTGCCGCGAGCCACCCGTCCGCGTTTCATTGAGGTCGTAATGCCGACATAAGTGCGATAATTAACTTCGCGATTTACGTGTGTCTAAACTCATGGTATTACCACCGGGATTTGTGGACCATCGACGATCATTCTCGCACGATGACGATTTTCATCGCGCTGTAACTATACACTACCAATTGTTATTTCAAGAAATGAAGTTATTAAGGATGAAACGAGTGTGCTTCGAGATTACGATAACCCTTTGTTATCGGGGATATTAAATCATCGAGCAATTAGACATCTGCGTGGCGCACGTGATTTCGTCAAAGAATCCCGCTCTCCGATGTCGAATGCTCCAGTTAACGAGCCGAATAATCGCGCGGGCGAAATGAAATAACATCTGCGATTCTTGCAGGCCCGAGCAAATGTTTGCACGAAGGAACGCCCCATTATACCCGTTGCTCGGTAAATAATGCAACTCCGCCGATTAACTCGTTTGCTGTAGCGTGGAATAAAGAGAAGATATAAGAGAAAGAGAGAATGGGAGAAGGATGAAGAGAGAAGAGAGAGAGAAAGAGAGTCTAGTAAGTTAAAAAAAAAACAAATGCCAAACTGAAGAGTCTAAAGGTGACTCTTGAAAAGAGGAGGAGGAACAGGGAGCGAAATTAAGAAGATCATGATCCATACAAGATTGCGGAACATACATTGGCTTGACTCACCGAGCGCTCCAGCGGCCAGTCTCATCGTGACGGGAAGCTCGGAGCCGGTGACTTCCGACAGCTTCCGCTTCCGCGGCCGGCCCTTCTGCACCGCGCCGGTTGCGGCAATCCCGCTCTGCTCGTAGTAAGCCGGTAGCGGCGACACCCCCGGCGAGCCGAGGTCCTCGATGCCGCCGGCGGCACCCCCGTAGTCGCCGGCGCAGCACAGCAACTCGTAGTGTGGTCTTGGGAGCGACGTGCTCGTCAGTCGTCAACCTCTCTGTCAAGTAGTCGATAGACGACCTGACCTCCGCGTTATGCGTTCGAGTTCGATGAACGAGTTCGACTTATACACCGGATACCACGCAGGGCGGAATTTAGCGAGAGCGGCGAGATTATGGTTAGTCAAGGGGATAAGACGGTTAACGGTAGCGAGTTGTTGGGTGGTACGAATTCGAGGCATCCGGTTTCCTCATTCCGTCGCGGTGAAATCTCTCGGTCTTTGGAGTGTTGCAGGGAATCTTTTGATCGTCGTAAAATTCTATATACAGTGCGCACAATCTTAAAATATTTCATTTCGTAAACGTTTGAGGAAATCACGAAACCTTTCTCACAAGTCTCTCGGCATTCGTAAATTCTCATTCTCACATCTCGCGGTATATCTGTCGTCGCGATCGTCTTCCCGGAACCCGAGACCCGAATCCCGTTCGTTCCAATGACCATCATTAGCACTCAACAACCGTCATTAGCGCGGAGATAGGGGAGGTAAAAGGGGAAGAATGACTCGTTGCGACAAAGCGCCTCGTGCTCCTGTCAACCTCGTCATCGAACTCGTTGATAACAAGGAGAGACGGCCTTTGAAGGATAGTAATGATCAGACACTCCTGTTTCTCACCTACAATACACCAGTCCGTCACGCTGGCCGAAATGATCGCCTTTGTTCAGCGGGGTGCCACACGAGGCGCAAGTGAAACACGCCACATGATACACCAAATCGCGCGCTCGCATCACCAGCTCCGAGGCGGAAATGCCGGCGCGACATCGGGAGCACCGGGACACCGCGAATAATCTGCAATCAAAACAGTTAAAGAGTTATCCTTCGGTATACAGATTGTCAAATTCGGGAAATGTCGCTGAATTTCTTTAATATCTCTAGTCGTCGGAAGACCATCTCATAAGAAAGATATCGCAACTCTCCGAAATATATTTGATTTTCCTTAAATATATTGTTACACAAAATATCTAAAAGACACGTACGTGCCTAGATTTATGGCTTTTTATGAACTTTATAACTGTGCATTTTTATTATTAAATTTGCAATGTTATATAATTTAGTTCGTTCTTTCGATTGACGCCAATGTGATGGCTGAAGTACTAAAAATCTCAAAGTCTTTTGCATTTTATCTTTTATCTATTGCATGCATTCCTAATTTTATATTAACTTTGTTTAAAAATTGGAAAAAACTGTACGCTTGGAAATCTAACGATATATTATATGTTCTGTGAATTCTGTATTCCTGAACGTTCTCGCGAACGTATTGCGAATTCCCGCTTGAGGTGAATTTCGCAAAGGATCGAAGCAGACCGTTCGCATTCGCGTAGACGGAAACAAAGGGCTTGTTGCATATTGCATGGAGGACGGCTGTTGAATTCCTCCCCTGCTCGCTCTAACGAACTCGCCTCTCGGCCTTTCATTCCACCCTCTCTCGTCCTGAAATGTCGGACGTCATCGCGTAAGCGCGCTATTTCGCAAAATAAACAATATTTATTTCCTTGCTTACGCTCGACTCGCGTTCCAACTTTCAGCTTCTCACAGGGATTTCAAAGCTATAAATGTTGAAACTTTTGTCAAATCTTTAGAACTTGATTTTTCTAAATCTTTCGAATGTAATAATAACTTAATAAGCAATAGTCTTCAGGATGTCTTTAATTCTTTGAAATTGGCTTTTTTCTCGTTCTTCTTACGACTACCCGCATTCTTTATCGCCGAGTATATCGCCGCGCCGAGTGTGGAATTCAAGGTCCAATTCCTGAATAACGACTAGAACTGTGTATTTGGAAACGACTATTAGTGGACATTTTGTGTGGTCTAAGGAAGAAGGCGTTTTAGTAAAAGAGAGCAGAAGAGAACCGCTTCTCGTATGTAAATTCAACGCTATCCCAATAAATATCGAAACAAGGGAGCACCTATTAATGGATCCTGCATCAGTTCCATACGCGTCATTCAAGTAATTCGTCGCGGAACATCCTGACGTGAAGTCAGATTCGTTTCTTTCCGCGAAACCGACAATAAAAAAATTTTCCGGCAAATATATTTAGAAAATAAACTTCAAACTGCGTGATTGCTATTTTCACTTATTCTAAAAGACAACGATTTTTCTTTTACATCATTCGTGCTTCAACTAACCTGTAGTAATCCTCTTTGCAGTAAATGTTACCGTCTCTGGCGAAACAGGTGAGCTCGGCGGCCAGGGGGACCCGGCAGTGACAGCAGCGCAGGCAGCCGCAGTGCCATGCGCGATCGGCAGCCCTTAGGTACCAACGCTCGGCGATCTCCCTTCCGCAGCCGCCGCAACTCAGGACACCCTCGGTGATACCGCCCCCGCCGCCCCCGCCGCCGCTGCTCTCGTTCGCACCGATCTGCCGACCGTTCGCCCCGCCGCCTCCGTCCCCCGGCGGGGGTGTGGTGCTACCGCAGCCGACTTCCTTCAGCATCTCGCTTCACGCGCGCCGCTACGACGCATGCCGTTGCATTCTGTAAAGTGGTTATCGCAAGTCTTCGTAATGTATGACGGTGCCGTAGACGTTATCTGGACGAGGCGCGATTCCATGCAGGGGTACGAAGAAAGTTGCGATCGATCATTGTATTTAGTAAATTTTCAGGAAATGAAATCTCGAGTTTCTCCGAATGATACTCGCGTGAAAATAGGACGGAAGCTATACGCGTTTTGTATTACATTGTAATTTCATGGATGACGAAACTGCAGTCGTCGACCTTGACGCAGGATTGAGTAGTATATATGGCACTTTCAGCCCTTTGCATGTCGACTCTTCAACTTAAGAAATCCATGTGCAACTTTGAACTATATCACAACTTCTCCATTCTATAAATGACAAAATTAAATTGCAGAAAATATCAGAATTGTAATTTGATAAATAAAGTTTATTCGTGTATTAAGGGGTAAAGCCACTCTAGAATTTTCAAAAAATCGATTTTTTTTGCTTAAACGATGCTTTAAGGTCTTAGAAATAAGGTACACTTGGTTTCAAAGCTCGGAAAAATCTCTATTATCTCTTTTTTGTAATCCGTCTGCCGGCGCGTTCGGAGCGCGCTTCGAGCGTCTGAAACTTTAAACGCGTTTTTCTCGAAATCGCTTTTTTAAAGTCGGGCGGAATCAGAACTCGAACACCTTTTATCCGATTGACTTGAAATTTTGAGTGAAACTTTACAATAACATTATCTTTAGAAGTACCTAGGGATTTTGCGATAAGTTGAACAAAACTTTTTTTATAAACAATTTTGTGCGACATTTTTTAGCAAAAAATGAAGCATTTTTTTCCAACATGCACCATTTTTACAAAAAATGATATTTCGCAATTCCCCTTGGTACTTCTATAGAAAATCTTATATATTTTTCAAAAATCTTTGAATTTTTGTTCCAGCTCAAAAATTATAGGAGCTTTGATTCCGCCTGTTGAATGCCTTCCGCAAAAAGGCACTTTGGAGCAATGGCTCTGGCGCCGCCATTTTGGCAATAAATAATTAATAAAAAAATTTTTTTTATATTTTAATATATAGATAATAAATAGAATTAAACCGATTTTTATTTATGATTATTGTATTTCTGAAAAAAATTATCAAAAATTGGCTTTTTTTTTACTCTAGAGTGGCGTTACCCCTCAAGGAGTAATCTTTCTGAAAAACTTTTTCTAAGAGTTAAAAGAGATAGTCCGATCGCTTGACCACCAGCCATGTTTATCAGATTTGAGCCTATTTGAATTTCTTTCTATGGAAACATATTAAAATTATTTAAATCTGTTCCTAAAACAGGAATTATTTCTCATGCTCTTTCATTCACAATCTAATCGACCGCTCTCACGCAAAGCCACGCGTCACCTGTATTGTTTATTCAATAAAACTTCTCTTTGTAAATGATCTGTAGACTGGGATAGCTAATGTGATTCAACATATCAATTGCTAAACGTAGAATTTCAGAATCACATCATGATTTGTATACGCAATGATGGTAAATATGTTGAGAGATAATCAAGAATAAATGTATGTAAAATTAAAATAAATTCTTTTCCCTTTTTAGTCCATCTCTTCCAACCCTTAGAAAAACATTTTCGTAAAGATTACTCTTGACACATATTAAATTTTACTAGCCAAGTTGTAATATTCATGTTTCTTACAGATTAATTTTATCATGTACAAAAAAAAGTTTACAGTTATACAAGCACTTTAAAATCCCCCTCCTATAATAAACCCCATTGTATAATTGCAAGTAGAAAAAAAAACCTCAAGTCCTTCCTCTTGTCATCGCCAGGTGAAGACTCGAAAATTCAGGATCAGAACCTTTACAAGTCGTTCCACGCGCAGGTGAGTTCATTCAGAACACGCTTCCCAGGTGACGAAAGTAGAAACCGATGAATGAAAACAATTCGTGATCGACGGTAATGAATCCGTTAACAAACGACTTTCGCCTTCAAATCACGATTTACGCGAACGCGAGGTGATTCGCTTGCAAAAGCATCGTCACGATGCTCGTTAGATCTCCGCGCAAATAGAAATAATTTTTCCACTTCCAAGTAGCATTTGTAACAATTAAGTTTTAGGGTCAATTATTCAGAGATTGTTGATTTAAAAAAATTGATCAGATTTAGATTTAGGTGAAATGGATTTATATTGAAACAGACAAACATATACACATGTAACACATTATTTTGTCATTTCTATTCAACGTCGAGTACCGGAAGCATCATCTCAAGCATTGCCCGCGCGTAACGCAACGTCGATCGCAACGATACGACTCGTCGATGTTAATTAATTCATCCTTGAAAACAGCATTGTTTGAGGTGAAAAGCGAAGTGCTTACCATCCCCGCGGATTTGCATTGCGGTGGCATTATGTCTGCAATAGCACGCGGATTCGATATTATCGCGAGCCATATTTCCATAAAATCGATTCGCTTGATCCCTCGATAACGGAATCTCCGTAGCGAGAAATACACATATTGACATATATATACAGTTATACATATACATCAGCAACTGTATTTGTATCCGAATGTCTGCTGCAGGTTGCAGCGACTGAAGAATCGTGCAATGTGAAAATTATGACGTTATTTAATGTCCAAAATTCTCACAAATTGATCCATTAAAATATTGGAAGATAATATAAGTATCAAAAATAAATTTACCTTAATAATTATTAAATATTTAAATACATAAATTGTTACACATTATTAAGTAAAGGTTAACCATAAACTTCTAGAAATATTTAAAATACATAAAATATAACGTAATATATTGCATATATTTGTATGTACCATAACATATCGGCGAGTAAAATAAAACAATTAATAAATTATTACTCAATGCAATAATACTATATCTGTAAATATTGATAATTGTATAGTTTCTCAGTAATTTGCTCAAATTTTATTTTTGTTAGCATATTACATTCATGTTCATACATTTAATACTTCTAACACTGGTAGTTTCTAAAATCTATTATCAAACAGCCAATGTCCTATCAAAATAAAAAAAAACCTTTGATTCTTCCATTTCAGATAAAATAAAATACTTGGATTGAGAAGTTTTAACGATTATTAAATTTATCTTTCATGTTCTGCTCACCTGCAATCGATTAAATAGCTGGAACGCGACGGCGAATCCTACTGTCGGCCGTCCCTCGCTTCTCTCCGCTCGCCGGCGACGAAGCACCCGCGGCCAAAATTATTGCCGCTCGGTTATTTTCATCTAAATCGTGGTCATCTTGGACCTGCTAACTTTTCCAGGGTTCGGTTCGCTCGCGGCGCGGCTCCAACCCCGGATATACCGGCGCTCCGACGATCTCGGTTGCAGCCTCGAACCGACCAGGCAGTCGTTGCGGTCATCAATCATGCTCTGGACAAGCGAAAAGCCGCACGGAGAAGATAATTTCTCTACGTGACATCGGTTCGACGATAATAGAATCTACACGACGAGAGAAGCGCAAAATTGTATCTGTTCTAAAGTATCGCTCGCGTATGAATTACTTCGAATAAGAAATTTAACGCACGGTTAAACTGTTCTTTAGAGAAGCTTTAATTCTTTTATACATCTAACTGTTTGATCATTTAAAACTTATCAGCAGATCAGTTTGACACTAATTTGCCGCATAAAATTCTTTTAGTTTAGATTCTCAACTTCTATGGTCTGATTTTAATGTTGAATAATATTAAACTTAAACATCCATTTCTAAAATATTAAACCTAAGTAGAATGTATATATTAAACTGATTTAAACCGAGTTTTAATCTAAAAATAATGAAAACAAAGCAGTATTTTCGGCTGATGAAAGCTTGAATGAGATAAGCTTCGATTGCGGTTAAGCAAAAGAGTGACCACAGTGATCATCTAGAGTAAACTGTTGGTTAATCCTTTCTTACAATTAGAGGCAGCTGCTGATTGAGTCACACAATTGCGGTTAGCAGAGTTTCCGAATTCAACTTCTGTTGCACATTCATATCGAATATAATCTGTTGCACAACGATGCAAATTCTATTCTGGCGCTCTGTATTATTTTCCCTTTTATAATTATATGCATTAGCTAGTTTCTTGAAAATATTCCGAAACAGAATTTTTTAATGCGGTTCTGGGTCTATAAATCTTCTTTACAGAATCTTTCGACTTTAGAATTTTTGTATTTTTTAAATCAAATCACTGAGACCATAAATCTTCAGATTACCTATTTTTATCTCACATTTCTGGATCAATAGAACCGTGTGAGCTAGTGATGGCCTAGAACCTAAGAGCTTTAGACAATGAGACGTCGTGACTTTAGATTTCTAAATTCTCAAGTCGAAGAACGTATGTCATTGTTTTGGTATTTCGAACTACGATATTTTAGGTTTCTAGATTCCTGATCTTCGAATTCTGGATTTTTTTCACGAGGAATAACACACAACAAAGTTTCATTCGTCATTAGCATGATTCGTCGGATAACTGTGCCACTCAATTTTTTAATTATTTAATATTTTACACCCACCAGTTCATCCCTTTCTCAAGGCACAGCATCCTCATTAGACTTCTCGATCCCTTCGATTCACATTGATCTTTCCTTTCTTCGGATCTCAAGATGCAAGTCATTAGCACGTCACAATACTAATCACCACCTTGGATTTGTTTTATTTGGTTGGTTTCGAGCACTTCTCTCACACTTTTCCGACGATTAAACGGATTCTTGCCAACAGCGACATTACCGTCAAAAAATTGATAAGAACGGGATTCTTCTAAATTCGCAAGCACGAGAAAAACTTTCGGAAAAAAAAAACTATCGAAACAAAACTCTACGGGAGCATGAGAGTTGCGAACGTGAGAAGTCTCCGCGGCGAAATAGAAATTTGACGAGAGAGAGGGACATTTCTCCACGAGCGCGCCGAAAACCTGCGTGTGGAAAACTGGCGCGCCGGAAACTCGCGGTGCGCGAAAACTCGCGAAAGCGTCTCGCCGAAGTGCGAGAAGGAAAGCTCGAAGGACGCGGTAGACTCGTGCGGGATGGAAGCTGCTCCCCGTCGGCATAATATTACGATCCTGGGACGGCTACCCAGGGCCAGGGGCGGACGTCGCCGCGACAGGGAAGCGGGGTTGGCCCCCTCGTACCGCGATCTCGCCGGGGTGGCGACAGGGTGGGGTTTTCGATGCCGGCTCGAGGGGTAGCGACGTCGGGACGCCGGGCGTCTGCGCGCTGCGCCGGCGCCTTCGCAGCGCTTTCTCCCTTTGTCTTCTTCTTTCTCAATCCCGCTCTTTCTCTCTTTTTCCTCTTTGTCTTCCGCGGGAAAATAGTTCGCTCTGTCTCTTTTTCACTGGTATCGGCTGGTGGTTGTCGTTGATATCATGTATATATGATAATGGCATTGGTGTTGATGATAATGTGGTTTGTCAGGTACATCGCTGCGTTTTCTTAAAAGATTTGAAAAACATATTGATTGAAATATTTTGTGGTTTTTTTTTATTTTTATGTACAATCTGCTTTATCCAATTTATCTCACTCTTTCAATTTAATTCTGCTATAGTTATTATTATAATTATCCACATTATATATTATTCGTTTTCTATTACTTTAAAATTTCATTTAAATGAAAGTTTCGAGAATACAATGTTTAATGATTTGGATTTCTATATAATTTTAAATTACTATTAAAAACACAGAATCACTTACAATTTAGTTTTTAAAGATCAAAAAGTTAAGGATAGAAGAAACGATAGAAGAAATTTAGAAATACATTTTACATTCTCTCTGTAAAAAAAGGAAAATTTGAATTAAAATTTCAATTTTATGAATTTTTTTGAAAATAAGATCAGTCGCAAATGTCAATTTCTTTATCATTATTAATTAATTAAAAATGTGCTCGAGAAGAAAATTAATTTTCGCTCTCGGAAAAAAAATTTTTCACGTCGAATTATAGCAAATTAGTGTAACGTTTGTGCGAAAAGAGATATCACACAAGACTCGAATCCTCCTCCCAATTTTTCACTTCATCCTCGTCTTCCGGTGACATCATCGATTTCGTCCGGAAACATTCTGAACGGTGCTAGAGCGACATTCATTATTCATGATTAGCCGCGACGTCTCGCCCGCAAAGCACTCGCCCGCGCACGCTCACATTTCACTCTCAATTAATTTGCAATCGGGGTATCCCGATGGGAAGAGAGGCGCTCTCGGCAAGAGAAATGACGTGACATGCGAGTGGTTAGTCACGCGTCAGTCACGCGTACAGGTACAAATTATTACTTAAACGACGCCAGCTGGCGAAAAACGTGTTTCCGCGGCGATTTTAATATCGCCACCAGTTTGTCACTCCGTCTTTTCGAGCACCGTCGATTGGACTCGTTCCTAACAAGAGTTCCCTCGCGCGAGAAATCACATCAAAGACGTAATTGCAACTTCCAGCACTCGAGATAAACGTTAGGATTCTAAGAATTTTTTATTTTTTATGAGACCTTCAGACTCTTAAAATAAGTATATAAAATCGTATATATATATTTTAGTTTTATTAGAACTGCGTGAAGCTCTTTCAACAGTTTCACGTAGCAACTTTTAGATCTGTGAGAGATAAAACTATTTGTGTTTCTAGCTTCAATTTCGCACGATGTAAATTATATGCTACTGCAAATCGCGACTGTGCGAGGCGCGCTTCCGTTCCAGACGCGCGTGCGCAATTCGCCGCACACGGCGTAAGCGCCTTTTAATTGCAGCTAAAGAACGCGAGTGACAGTCAGATATACATTGTCCGTTACGACCAGTTCTTCTAGATTTGCCTGGTTTGCGCGCGGTCAACTATATTTGGCCGCACCGACGCGCGACGCGACTCGACGGCGCGGAATCAGCGAAAATCCATCGCGTCTAAGGTGCGACAAAGTCGTTTCTCTCGCTTCCGATGTCCCATTAGGCTCATTAACCGCGGGTGGCATGATCAGGCCGTCGCTACAAATCGAACCCCCCGTTAAACGGCGAGCTCTCGTTAATCTCGCGTGCCGCGCCGGTGCTCGCGATCGTAAGCAGCGAGGCGCGAGCAGCGTTCCGGAATTTGTCAAGTTAATCTCTTAGCTGCAAAAACCGTAACTCACAACATTACGTGCAATAAATTAAAACAGTGTTTTGACTTTGATTATCCTGTTTAGAATAATATTTAGGATTATTTAGACTTTAGAGAGACATAATTTTTTTATTTAAATTTTTTTTACATTTGGAATTAATTGAAAGTTACATTTTATTTAATTTGAACCACTTCCAAATGATTTTTATTTTTGTTGAATTAAGCTTACTAGTCATCGTGATCTGAATGTCGTGCATAATTTCCGGTTGAAGAATCTCCGGGCAAATACCTTTTCCGCTGCCGCGAGAGGTCGACTCCGAGGAGTGCCTCCCAATTCAATCAAATCCACCCTAATTCAATCACATACTGTTGCCGCCCTCCTCCCCCTTCCCGCCAGAGCCCTTCAAGTTCACAGATGGTTGAGTCGGCGCGAAGGGGTCGCGTTGCGCAGTGCGCCAAGGAAGAGAGCTGTCATTGTGGCGAGGGAGGAGGATGCTGTCATATCGATCAGAGACTTTCTGGACGGATAGACGGCTGGAAGCGATACTAACGAAGAAGAAGAAGAAGAAGCAGTTGGTAGTAATAGAACAAGAAGAAACGGCAGCAGCAGCAGCAGCAGCCAAGCGCTGGCTTATCTCCCGCTCGCCCCCCCCCCTCGGCCTCCTCCTCCTCTTTCTCTCTTTCTCCTCGTCTCTGTCTTCCTCTCGCGGGAAGGGGAGGGTGGACGAAGGGTACAGTAACCTCGGCGGAAGCAGCCTCCGCGAGGCGCGGCCCTCCGACGCCCGCTCGATAGAAGCCCGCCCGATGCCGGCCAATAGCGATCGCCGTGAGACGACGGGGCCGTCACTCCATTGGCTGACGCGGCCGGTTCGCATCGACATCGCAGGGGTGGGGGGTGACCGGGAGAGTCGGATGGAGATGGAAGTAACGCTCCCGCCAGCATCACCGAGGGGATCCTGCCGAGAATGGGAGTCATCTGGCGAACGCTGACGGAGGCTGCGGCTGTTCGGCACGAACGAGCGGCGGACATTCAGGACCTGTCCTATACTCCTGTGTTTCTCTCTTCCTTTCTGATTGGGACATTCAGGACCTGATCTGGTTCTCTCCGGTCGAGAAGAACGCGAGAAAGGAGGGGGATGGGACGAGGTGTCGGAGGGACATGTCGTATTATGAATGAATGAAGTACATGTGTAAGATTGAGGATCGGTCTTTGTTGGTCGACCGCGATTCTCTCGTCTCTGAATGGAGAGTGGAAGCCTCTCGAGAAGTTGACCAGCGCGGAAAAAAGATGGTCCTCCCGGAGCGCCTCGGCAACTCCGGCGGCTCGCGAGTTATCTTTGATATACCATCATAGACCGGTGGTATATTACGAATGTAAGACGCCGAACAATGCCACAATTACGCTTACGGCGGCCCACTTTAGCACTCCGATCGAGCTCGCCGTATCATTTAGGGCTATCGCGATGCGGAATTGATGTGATAATTAATCTAAGCGAACAACTCGCGCGCGCAGCGCACTCGTAATCGGACGTGATATATCTCCGTCGTCTGTTTATTCGCTCGACCGTGACGCGAACGAAGTTATTTCTAGGCGTTCTGAGGCCCGGGCCTGAAGTCCCCCCCGGTTTTAGCTCCGCTAAAAAGATCGGCCGCGTCACCGCGGAATCCCCCGGACGCCATCGATCATCGAACGGGGGACGACACCGAACGGAGGAACTTAGCGCGACCGCAAAATGGAGGCTGTCGGGCATCGTTAGCGGGGTCTCGCCGCGGCGCGGGAACGGCTCTGGTTCCCCGTTACAGTCTCCGTTCGGCGAACAAAAGTGGGTCTTTCCCTCATGCCGCACGCGGCACGAAAGTAATTCAAGACACCTGGCGGGAATGGTTTTAACGGATCCTAAGATCGTTCCTCGGCGTGCGTCTACGAGATGGGGGGCGGGAAGCGGCCCCTCCGCCCCTCGATTGCATTATGTTAAGTACGGCGCGGCGCGGAGGTTATCTCTCGGCGTTAGAGTAAATAAGTGCAAAGATATAACGGTTAATTTCCGCGTTAACCGCGTTTTATCGCGACGCTCTATCCGCGCGCGGCGAGCGGCAGGATGCCCCGCTGCTTCCACCGTGAATTCGCCGTGTGCTCGCCGCGCCAGCGTATGCGTGTCGTTTCGCACGCACGCGTAGGAAGGACGCGGCGCGACGGGGCGCGAAGGGGAACCCTTGAAGAAGACGCTACGTGCGGGTACGTCAGAAGGAGTTAAACGGAACGCACGTCCTGCGCGTCCACTGCCCTCGAAAATTTCCACGACTAATCGAAACGGGTGTTAACTGGGTTCTTCCCGTTTCCCATTCACGTTTGTTCTCGTTTATTCTCGTAATATGCAAACCTTGAGAAAATTTATAGGACTTCTACGTATATTTTGGAAAAAATGCGAAAGAACATACTCGATATTCTTGAAAGGTTATTTAATTCGGGTTTCAAATCAGATTGGACACAATGTGAAATGTTAAGATCTTTGGAAAGTAATACAAAATTCTAAAGTATTTTGCTAGGAATTTATAACAGCGTTTAATAAAATATATAGTAAGGTATACGTTCGATGCGTCAGACATCTCATCCTAGCAGCATTCCCAATTTGTTCCTACCGCTTCATGTGCGCGCTCAAAAGCATATTGTTTCCTCCCGAGACCGTGTAAATATTTCCGTATATTATCCGCAAATCTATTCTTAGTTTTTCCCCAAGTCCCCTCGCTTATTCCGCGGTACGCAAAAGCCTCGCCTTCTCAGAAGGTGAAAGAGCGAAGGGAAGAAAGAAGGAAAGGACGGAAGGAAGGAAGAAGGAGGCACAAATGCGTGCGCATGAAGTGTATTTATGCGCGGCACCGTCACGTGGGTAAGGATCGTAGATTGCGAGTCGGCCCCGGCGTGCGTGTCGGTGAATGAGGCTGACGTGGATAAATGGCGCGTTTCCCCG